ACCTAGGAGACCAGAGTGCTGTAAAACTGGTTAACCTTAATGGAAAAACACTTGTCTGACTTGCAATATTATTTGAATATTACCTTCTTTTAATGATGTCAGGTAAAAGCAAAAAACTAAGAAAGAACCATTCTTGTGCTACAGAATTTATGCTTATATTAAGCTGGTGTAAAATCATAGACAGGGGAGAGAAATGGGCACTTTTGAATCAATCAGGATTCCTTTGCCTCTGTGGAGGATGTGTACGCTATACAAATAATGCCCTGGAAATGCCCATTTCTCTGCACTGATTATATGGGGAGCCCTGAGTGATTACCTCAGATGGAGACATTTGCAGCTGCTCAGCTAAATCCCATCCTACAAGTCAATTACTAACAGCTTATGGCAGAGCTAACCACTAATTCCACATCTGCTCAGTTTTTCAAGCCATGACACTGAAGTGCTCTCAACCCTCAGCCATCTTCCCTTCCCAATTTTTGAAGTTACACATCAGCATCTCTTGCAACTATCAGAGTATTTAATTCCCTCAAGCACTTCTGGCCTTAAAAACTTCAGTAGCTCACAAGACCTAAGGCTTTCCTTTTTTTAGACTTACTATTGCTAAGTGCATAAAATACTTCCAAATAAAAGAAAGTCCTAAATTATGTTACAAGCTGCCAGGAGAACACTGAGTGGCCATGTCTTTCCACAGCTCTGCTCTTTCCCATAAATGGTTCTGAAGTAGGCATCTTAAGCCCCCAAGAAGACTGTTTGATGTCCCGTGGGTCTATATGGAGACAGATATACATTGATGCTTTTAATTCAGGATTATTACCACAAAAAAATACAAATCCAAATAACTCTGTTGGAGGACTTCAATGTAGAATTGATTGTTTCTTATTACATGCTCCACAGTAAAATGGGTTTCCCCTGTAGCTAGTAAGGGACAGATGTGTTCTACAGAAAACAAAGATAATAATAAAGATAAAATCCTGTGAGGTCTGTTATGGGACCACCTTGAAAAGTGGGCCTTGGACTTGTGAACTCCATATTCCCAAACTTCCTCAGCCTACTTGCCAATACAGGCCAGCTCATCTTTTCTCAAAAGAGAAAATTTGGATGAAGAAAAAGCTGCTGCTACAAAACATAAAGAAACAAAAGGAAAATGGAAAACAGAAAACGAAAAGGCTTTTTTTTCCCTACTGTCATCATACTCATTTACCCATGCCACACATAAAACAAGCCTGTCTACAAACAGGCTTTTCAAAGCCAAACTACAACCAACTGCAACCCAGAAATAAGTATCTGAACTTGCATCTGCATGGTAAAAAAAGATAATAAATGGGGTTTGATTATTTCAATTAACTACTGCCACACAATGCTTATAAAAGGACCTTATGAATACGTTATATAAATGTTTGCTCTGAAGTGCTATGCCATAATTTAAAATCACATTTACAGCAAGACATCTCTTACTTACATCTCTTACTGTGTCATAGTAAAAACAACATTACAGCCAATCTCTTGACATTTTTCCACCCTATTCTATGCACCACATTGTAATGTACTTCAAGGTTTAATACAGATTGTTTTTTTCCCACCAAATCTTTGAATGCCTGAAAAGGTTTTAATAATATTTTCCATTATTAAAACATCTGGTCTGGAAAAGCAGTAATTAGTGGTTATGGCTGACTGAAAGACTTGGCATGGCTTGTAATACCTGAAACGTCGGATCATACAGACCTCTGGGAAGTGTGACTGGAACTTGGGTTCCTCGGAACAAATTCTCATAAAGTTATTTTGTACAAAGGGTTCTGGTACTGATAAGTCCTCTGGGAAAGGCTCAGTAGTATAGTCAGGAAACATCTCTTCAAAAGCTTTTGAATCCGTCATATTCTCTTGCAGTGTTTTGTTAGGATTAAAGCAACCAGGAGGGTGTTCCTCTAAGTTGGTCTGATACTTGAGCACTCCCCTATAGGAAAATAAAAATATCAAAGACACTGAAGCAGCAGTCAAAACCAAGTAACTTATCTTAATTCAGACAGGGTTTTAGAAAGCAGTCACAAGGCTCATCTTCTGTAAGAATTTTTATTCTGTTTGCTTTCAGAACTTTCAGTGAGATTGAAGCTTTGCAACAATAGAGCCCTCTGTCACTAGAGGCAAGGTTTAACTTTTCCAGTTCACTTGGCATTCCCACATTGAACAGCCTCAAGCTTAATACTGCTTGAAAGGGGGAGATATTGTGGGAGCCTTGAAAAAAAATTAAATAATCGCATTTCCTGTTCAATCACAGCCAGGCTGTTTTCACTCATCCTCCCTACAGTCAGTAAGCCCCATTTTTTAAAGCAATCTGTAGCAGAAGTGGGCTAAGTTGCCAAATCATAAACTCCAGGAATGTTCCCACTACTTGGTGGTTATCAGGTTTGCACACAACAGTAAAATTTGCTCCTTTGAACATCATCTTGTGAAAAGAAAGAAAAAAAAAAAGAAAGTCCTGCATGATAGCCAAGGAACCTTTCTTGTAAATTATTTTGTGCAGTTCATGCTTGTTTTTTAAACTAAGTTAAATTTATAGTGAAATGAAGTGAGAGCTTCGCAGCTGCAGCTAGAAACTATGAAGAGAGAAGTGGAAACCTGAGACACTGGAGTATCTCAGCACATGAATGAATCATTGAAAACAGGCAGAACTGACAATACTAGTAATAAAATTCCTCAGAAGTACTACTTGCCTCCAAATCTGGATTTGATGGCAGTAAAACCACAGGGAGGAATATTTAAAAAAAAAAAAAAAAAAAAAAATGACAGCTATATAGGATTGTGATGGGTGGGAAATAAGGCACACGGACACAACACCTGGTGAGACATGCCCTCTGAGCATCAGGCCATGTAGTGAAGGCTCATGTCAAGTATAGGATCAAACATAAGGACCTATGCTCCCCCCATCCTCTCCCAAATATCCACACACAGCAGCAGCAGCGGTGACAGAGTTTAATTGACAAAAAAGATAGAAGTAGACATCTGCAATATTCCCAACTTAAATGGGCTCCGACAGGCTACTGGCAATCTTCCCTACTGAAATGTAGTCCTGACAGCTAGTAAAAATCTTCCCGCATGGTCCAGTGAATAATGTACAGCTTGGAAGTTAAACCTGCTCACTCTAAACTCCACATCCAACCCTGGGAGAATCACTTGGGAAGTGTCTGTGTGCCTACACCCATGCTTCTGGCTGTATTTATTGTCTGATCATGCCTATCACTTGCATCTGGCATCACTGTTGGTCATTGCATATTTGCAAAGTGACAGATACCCCTAGCATTATCCTGGTTCCCTGCTCCATAAATATTATGGTGCCTCAGGGATTTAGCTGGAAGCTACAGCACATGAGATATTTTTTCAATCAACCTTGTGTACACGCCTGCCAGCTGCTCTCACAGCTTCTCTGTTCTCAGAACATCCCAAAAGAGGATTCAGAGTTTTCCTTGAGACATGAATAGCTGAACTGCAAACATGAGCATCCCCTCCAGTGATCTCTACTTTGTTTAAACTATTACAAACACGCTAACTGAGTGGCAAACTGGGATGACAAAGCTGCCTGTTAACAGCAGCTGCAATGACTCCCATTTCTGAAGCTGTCAAGGCGAGGCAAGTTGTATTACATATCCAAGATCAGTTCCCTGAAAGGTTGAGTTCTGCACAACTCTTAAGGAGCATAAGGTATATCCTCACATATGTATATGGTACTTGAATACATAAAAATCAATATGCGTTTGTCAGTAAGAAGCAGACAGACATCTTCCGCAAACAAAAATGGGATAGACAAAAAGGGCAAGTCATATGAAAGCGTCCTACTGGCTGAGCAACACAGAATTCAGTCTATTTGCACAGGGATACCTTAACCTCTGCGCCTATTTTCCACCCCCAAAATAGAGATAACATTCATTTCTGGCTAGAGTTGTAAAATATATACCACTATTTCTTGAGATTTTTATAAGTTTCAGGTCAATGGTTCTCAATGCTTTTATACAGAACTACACCACTCCTATCTCCTCATCCATCTTCAGCTGCTCAACTCAAGATGAGTTGCTTGAGAGGTGTTCTAAAGGTCAATGTGTGTGTGGAATCTTAAGATTTTTTACCCTTTGGAAGATAAATCCTCGGGTAACTCTATTGACTCTTATTTTCAGCTCCTATGAACCAGTATTACCCACTTAACTCCATGGTAATACCAAATCTGGATCAGCTGAGGATCTGGCTCCAGATGTTTCAGATGTTTTGTAGCTCCTCATATTGGTACTAGAAACATCAACCTTCTGTTTTTACATGAACTACTTTTTCTTGTTGCTATTACTGGCTTAAAATATAGATAAATTAATGTAGATGTGCACCAAGCCTTAAGCCACTAAAATATTTGAAAGCTGCGTTGCAAGAAGTACAAGAGCAATAAAAGTCTTTATGGATAATTCCCTGAAAGATTCTCCTGTCCCTTAGGGGAGGGATGAAAGAACAAACCAATAACATATGACAGATGAATCATGTCACTTTATATACTGCTGAGAAGTGCTTGGCTACCCTGAAGAAGAGGATACTATAAGAATATACCTATAACAGTTTGAAACAAAATAAGAATCCAGGGATACTGTGGAAATGCTCAAAAGGAGAGACTCCCAAGACAGGTAAATCCTCACCCAATCTGCCTGCACAGCCCAGCCGCAGGAAATGCCTTGCTCTGTAGAGTAACTGGCCGTGTGCCTGAAAATCTCTAAGACATGCCATGTAGGAGTCATTTGGGCACCTAAGCGTGGGTGTCTAAGCTTCCTTTGCTCTCAGAAGAGATTTTTCTACTCAATATCACCAACAGAGCCCAGAAATCAATCCAGCTCACTTGAAGGTAGATCTTCGTAGCAGCAGGTTAGCTGAAGCATTCTCGTGGCTCCATTGACTGTATTTATTAGAACTCATTAGACTATAATGGGAGAAAGACACTTAGAAAACATGTAGAGACCTACATTTAGGCATCTTAACTTGAACTGACTCCCACTCTCCATGACTCATTCTTCTCCCACTTTTAACTGACACTCAGTTCCTTAGATTTGCACTGAACGACTTTCCAATTCCCTATTAAGGAGGCTGTGTATAAGATGCCTGTTTAACGCTACGCTTGGTGTATCCCTGCAGCCTTGGTTTGCAAACTTCTCCAGCTAGACTTCTTCCTTTGTGGAGCAGCAACATGGTTAAGAAGACAGTGGTCAAAGGATAATACAATGAAGGAGATTAATTAAACTGGATATGAAAAATATTCCAAAGACAACCACTGGAACAGATTGCCTAGGGAGGTTAGAGGACCTCAGTCACCAGATGTTTTCAAGAAGTTAGACAAACACCTGTCAAGAATAATTTAGCAAAAGTTCATCTTGCTCCGGGATGGGGAGAACAGGTTACATCCATCTTCCCCAGCGATGAACAAGAGCTATGCCATGGGGAAAAAAGAAAAAAAGAAAAAAAAGAAAAAAAAAGTCCCACAAAAAACCACAAGAAAAAACACCCACAGAGAACTGGAATTGTGTCCAGGACTTCCAATTGTTTTGAATTAATTATTTCAATTCACCACATCTCAAGCTGTGTTTGTTTTGTTTAACAACATATTCCCACCATGATCTTGCTAGGCCTAATTACCTTTCACTGTTTACTTGAAGCAGTGGTGCTCAGTGTCATACAGACATTCCAGCACCCCACGTTTCAGCAGATGTTTGATAACGTGGAGGAATAATCCTTGCTCAAATACACCTTCCCTCTTCCATACCAACCTCTGCACCTACATCCACAAGGGAAGCTTCAGAGATGTTGATGGACCAGATTTGCACACACTGTAACTTGTGGACACTGCTTTACCTTGCAGTAGAGCTGGGTTTGTGCCAGACACAGACCTGACCATCAGCTTCATGGCACACAAACACTTGTCTCATGTTTGTGAAAACAAGAAGAAAAACTAGTAAATTTTGTATCACAGGAATAAGAAAGAGATAATTAGGGAGATGACATTCCTTCCCTCTCCTTAAGAGTCAAAATGGAAGGTAGAGAGGTTAAAGAAAGGGATGAGCAACTCTATTTTACATCCTTCTCTCAGCAGCCAGGTACGAGGGGGCAGAAAAGAAATAATAATGTTTTCTTGATTTTCCACTAGAAACTAGTAAAATAGACAAGGAATAAACTTGAAAGTGAAGAAGTTTGTGCTAGCTGGCTGTAGTAACACACAATTCCCCAAGCTATGGTCTTATCATTATTTAAATAATAACCTGTTGAAAAACTGAAGTGCACAGCATCTTAAGAAGTTGGCCCACTGTGCACAACTGAGCTCGGGAAAGGAAGTTATCAAGGGAACTGCTCTTTCTGGTTGTGCTACAGGAAAAGGGATAGTGTTTTCCATTTACTTACCCAGAAACATGCAGCATCAGCAGCATATAGAAGACAAAGAAAAGGTTGTGTGTATACCAGAAGATGTCATAGTTTGAAACCCTGAAAAGAATAAACCATGGTTCAATGCTGTTTCACTCAGATGGAATCACTGCTAATTAAAAGCAGATCATTATACACCACATATCCATGAAGAACAGTCAAAGCCCAGTATGTGTTCCTACAGGCATACTGTACTTGCAAGCACTTAAGTGTTGAGAAGAACAAGTGACTCGCACAGAAGTAAAAAGCTGAGGAAAAAAAGATGAAGAACATAGAAATTCAGAGCCAGCTGAAGAACTCTTCTTAAATTAGGAGACTTCACTACTTTCATAGGTCCTACTTAGTCCCTATCAGATCCTTATAGCTAAAATAGTTCTTCAGCCTCCAGTCTCAAAACTCAACCTCTTTACAGCGAGTGCCTCCCTGTGTTCTCCCTGCCCCAATACAGGGCTGTGGTGTTTAATGTGTCACTTCTGGTACAACATACAAACAGGTAGCACAGATAGCAGCAGAAGAGCTGGTGGGAGAGGTAAAAGAAACCTGTGAGGGTATGGAGTGGAAGGAGATGCTGGACGAATGGGAACTAGAGGAAGGAGGCAACAAGGGGACAGGCAGGAGAATTTTCAGGGCAGGAGTCCACATATGGGACTCTAGGACTGATGGTCTTGGGAGGAACAAGAAAAACATCAGGATCAGGAGAGGTGAAGGGGAAAGAGGACTTCCTTTCATCAGTAATTTGTTAGGTAATGTAAAAAGAACCAAGACCAAAGAAAATACTCATCTGGAACTGTTTTCTGTTAAGCCTATTTGTTTTTTCTTGAGTAAAATAGTCACGAAAAAAACAACAACAACCAAATGGTTAAGAAAATACTCTACTTCATAGCACACAAACACACCTCTCATGACACAGCATGATAGGAGAGTCCAATCCAAAACAACAAAAAAAAAAAAACCTACCCCCATTCATAAGTCTAAACAATTATTAAATAAAAAAAAACCCTTAACTCTGAGAACATAGTTTAAGAAGCTACTCCTCCAACATAGCTAACTTTCTTCAGAATTTTTTTCCTTAGTGTAAAAGGCTCCTATGACCTTTTATATTAACAGCTAACTACTCTTGCTTCAATACATCTGAAACGTACACTGCATTTGTTTCTGTCAATACAGGACTTAGTTGTTTTCCTTCTCAAGACAGAAAAAATAATTTTGACATTCTGATGGCCACCAGAATAAAACCCAAGCAAGGGCAGTTTTAAGGAACTCAGCAAGAGCAAGGATCTCTGAACCCCCCCTCATCCTACCATCCTTCCCTCATTCAGCTTCACGCTAACACTTCCTCCTTGAGGCTGCTCAAACCATTTCTAACCACCCACACACACCCTGGTAGGCATCTCCATGCAGTCACTCAGCAGTATCTGTAAGAAGTTGTGGGAGTGAACATCAGTAAGATAAAAGTAAAGGATGATGGTGTGGGGAGTGGAAGTACAATGAGAAGGAACAAAGAGAATAGCATTTACCCCCAAACTCAAAGCAGGTCTTGGAGCTGTGGTTTAATTTGGTATCTTGCCACAATACCAAAAGCTGCACACTGAATCCATTTTTATTGAATCTTGAGCAGTTTTTTCAGAATGCACTAATTTTCCAAAATTTCAGTGATGGAAAGTCAATCCCAGCTTCTGACATGTTGTTTTCAACAGCTAATTATTATTAGTGATTGAAATTACTGTACACTTCTTGTCTGAATATGTCTAAATGTCAGTTTCCAGCCAGTTGAGCATTTTATTCTTCTTTCAG